TACCGAGCATTAGCTGACCAAAAGATGGATCGTGTCATTGTAGCTGAAGAATGGGCTTAAAATGAATCAGAAATTCCAAAGATAATGGTGGTTCGGAAAAGCGCAATCAAAAGCGAGAGATACAGAAGCGACAGAAATGGCAAAAAATTGTTGGCCAAACAAACAGAAAAACAGCGACACGAAAGGCCTGCGAGAGAGTAAGTACACAAAAAGTCTCAGCAAACTAGGATGAAAAGGTACATGATTGGACCAAGACGCAGAGCATGAGGAGGAAGGAAGAAATTTACGGAATTCTTCAAGAACTGGTTACCAATGATCAGTGTAAGCGAGATGCGTATCGACATCGATCCCCCTATGCTGACCACTCTGATTGCAAGAAAACAGACGGATTGGGAGCTGCTGTTTGAAAAAAACTGGAAAAATGGGAAGGACAAGCGGTTTAAATGTTATACAAGGATCATGCACCCGATCCAACAATAGAACCAACTTCGCAACCAATAACAATTATGCATCGCCGAACGGTCAACCAGCATGAAAGCTCGGTGCTTTTGCTAGCCTTCGCTACCTATGGCGGCGCGACGTCACTCCCGCCCTGAAGGGTACAGTGTACAATGCAGCGGTACCTTCGACCTTACTGTACGGTCGCGAAACCTGGCCCCTAAGATCAGCGGACATAAAGAGGCTAGTTACGTTCGACCGTCGGTGCCTCCGCAGTTTGACTCACATCTGTGGGAACACCGCGTGAGTAACGAGCGTGTTCGACGCCTTGTTTATGGCACAGGAAAAGGAACTGAACCGCTCAGCACCGTCATTTCACGCACCAGGCTCCGATTGCTCGGTTACGTGTTGCGCATGCCAGCCCACCGACTTCCGCGATGTGCGTTGTTTGCGCGCCGGGGGTGTGGACGGAAGAAGAGGAGGCGTGGCCAAGCGATGACTTAGTCCAGAGGAATGAAGGCCCTCACTTCGGGGCTGGCATCGGTTGGAGCGTCACGGCTTGCTGGTTGGCGTCCAAAAGACGATGAACACGTTGGGGTAGATAAACTTGCTGACATAACAAGGAGCCGATCTCAGTGGCGTTCCTGCTGTAAGCTTCTTTGTCCCTCCCCATCCCTTTTAGTCGTCACCTCCAACCACGATCTCATTTCGTAGCGTAATATAATTTTACATAATAATTTTTTTGCCTAGTAGCCGGCTGATAGCTTACCGGAACGATGCGCATCCGTTGATGGTAGCTCAGCTGGCATGCAACTGTTGTATTTATCTTCCTTTTCCTTTATGTATTGCGGCACAGTAGCTGAGATGTTTCGCACCTCTAGCTAACGTATATAATAATAATAATGATGATGAAAGCCAGTGGCGTCAGAGGTGTGTACATCCGTTTATGGATGTGAGTAATATAAAACTTGTAACGAAACGGTTAGCAATTCGCAATGGTGGTGTTGTTTCGATTGGTGATGAAATCCTCTTGAGCAAACCGCCAAGGTTGGGCGAATAAGTCGATAACCGAGAAGTTGCATTGCATGTAGAACAAGTCGATAAGTGCCATTGGCTAGACTTTTATAAGAAACAGGCTAGGGAGATACTTGGGCCCATCGCAGGGCGACGCTGCACTAGCTAAGTGCCAGTGAAGATGCCAACAGCAGTGTGATAAAGCATGGTACTGGGTAGGATAAAGTGTGGTCAATACAGTCCGAGTAATCAACAATAATCCGAGTTGCAAGTGATTCAACTAGAGTCATCGTGGCAGCGGCAAGTAAGGACGGCACAAAGCGCGGGGACAGGACGACAAAGAAAGTCTTAGATGGAGTGGGGGGCCGAATTCAGCAGTGCCGTATCAAGCATGAGTGCTCAAGTACCGGTGTGGATCATTTCCTGGGGCCACAGTTTGGGGGGGGGGGGAATACAGTGAGCCATCTCATTCTCTTTTGTCATGTTATCGAGTGGTCAGGTCAGAGTTACTAACAACTGTAGACAGTACTGACATACAATACGAGCTGAAGAGCCCGGATCACGGGGATGCTAATCACATATCGTAGCAAACATGGGAGCTTCGAGCCTAATATGGCATCAGGGGAAGTGAATTCAAAGCAAGTAGCCAACCTTAGTAGCAGCCATCAAGCCAAAGTATACAAGCACGGAAAAAATGAGGAAACACCTCGGAAAAGGACTGTGGTAAGGAGTTCATACCTCTGGGATTTAACAAAACGTTACCTGTTGGCAACGAGATGCGGAAGAATGCAAAAAATGCCGCCCGTAGTCTTAAGGATCATGAGTGCAGTATAATCCGAGGGAGCGGGTTCGGGCCTGTGTAAGGGGCCGATTGACTCTAGCAGTAACCTTAGACCACGTGAGACTGGTGGTAATTGTGTGGCAAGTAAGTGTCGGTACTGTGTACTGTATCAGAAGCATGATATTAACAAGTGTATTGTGGAAGCCCAAATTAGCGGTGAAGGTGGAAGCAATGACACCTCGAAATCAATACGACACGTCAAAATAGAGGTTGCGCACGTGCCGGAAAAAAGCCCTATGGCAATGCAGCACTTTTAGCGACTGAGGTGACATCAGTACACGTTAGCTGAAGGTAATAAACACACTCCAACTAATGTGCCGCAATACAAAAAGATACATGAAAAACGAGATACAGAACATTATAGAATACAAGCTAAAATAAAAAAACGTTATATGGTGCTTAGTGCCATATTAAGCGTCACGTGTGAGGTGGTTACAAGAAGATAGCCGTGAGGAAAGAACAAAGAAGCTCATAACACAAACCCCATTTGGGCCGACGCTTCGCTATGTCAATAAGTGCATTCAACCAGACGCGTTCATCGTCCTTCGGATCCCAGCCCTGAAGTCGGGAGAAACCAACCGACGAAAAATCTGAAATGAGGATCTTCATAACTGTTGACCAATTTATCACTTGGCCTCCTCTCCTTTATTCTATTCAGACACCAGTTGCGCAAATGAAGCACGACGCGGTGTGCTGGCATGTGCCACATGTGGTCGAGCCATCGGAGCCTGGTGGATGAAATAAAGGTGCTGAACAGTTCACTTCTTCTTCCTGCGTCATCAACAAGGCGTCGAACACATTCATTGCTCACCAGGTGTTCACAACAGACATAAATTAAATTGCGCACAGTGACGCTCTTCAATATCTTCAGCAGCGTAAGACAGGGATGTCGCTGTCACCTTTCCTTTTCAACTGCGCCATTGACGAAGTCATGGAAATCACGTTCACTGCACACTACTTAGGCGTGGAGCTGTTCCCAGGCGATCGACTTCTTGATTTGAAGTATTCTGACAATACTTCCCTCATCTGTGACAACTCACAAAAGTGTGAAACAGCATTTGACAGATTAGCACTGGCTGACAACCGCTTCGGGCTTTGCTTTGCACCCTCGAAATGCAAGGGTTCCCTCCAAGATTGACAGGGACCGTCTGCTGCGCTGACTCTTGGTGGGGATCAGCTAGAAATCATTAAGAAATCCAACTACCTTATCAGTTGCATCAGTGCCCGTGGAAAAGAAGACGCGGTCACGAACCGTATAGCGAAAGTTTGAAGCGCTTTTGCTAACCTTCGACATTTATGGCGTCGGTGCAACATCACTCTCTACGTCGATTTACTAGACTGTTGAGATTATTGCTACTACTCTTTCTCTCTCTCTGAAGGATAGTTTACAATGAAACCGTACGTCTGACTCAACTGTACGATTGTGAAACCTAGTCCATTTGATCGGCAGATGTAGAGGCTAGTTACGTTCGGCCACCCGTGCCCTCGCAATTTGGCTTACATATGGTGGGAACACTGCGTGAGCAGTAAACATGTTCGGCGCCTTGTTTATGGCCCGGGAAAAAGTGAATCGCTCAGCGCCGTTATTTCACGCACCAGGCTCCGATGGCTGAGCCACGTGTTGCGTATGAAGCAAACCGACTCCCGCGTCGTAGGTTGTTTGCGCACCGAGGATGGAAGAGGCCAAGCGATTACTTGATCAATAGTTCCAAGTTGGCATCGGTTGAAGCCTGTCTGCTCCCTAATTGGGGCCTGAAAGACGATGAACACACTTGGCTGGATACATCTGTTGACATGGCTAGGAATCGACCTCAGTGGCGTTTGTGTTGAGATTTCTGTCTTTCCCACTTTAATCCTGATCTCATTCCTGAAGCATAATGTAAGTTTTTTGCGGCACCACAGCCGGTTACTAGTTCTCCGGAACGATGTCCATCTGTTACTGATGGCTCAACTGAATCGCCAGTGTTGCGTGTTTTATCATTATTTTCTCTTCCTGTGCATTGTGGCACAATGGTTGTGTCTCTACCTCTAGCTAACGTGTATAAGGAATGAATGATTGCGAAGGCAGCGACTGTGAATGTAACAAGCCTCTTTTGGTTTCTCGAGCTGATGGACTAAGTTTCCTAAAGAGTACAGGAAATTGAACGGACGGATGCCTCACAAACTCTGTCCTTCAGAGCAAGAGTGGTTTGGCGCCGGTGCTACAGGTGGCGGGGATTAGCAAAAGCACCTCGAGCGTTCACTATACGATTCGTGATCTCACCTTCGAGCTCACGAGTGCTAACATGGCTGCTGAGGTATTTGAACTTACGGACGATTTCTAGTTGATCTTAGCCCAGTTAAGGGCTAGTCCCTGCTAATTTTTGGAGGACGGCAAATCGAGGGCGCAAAGCATAACATGAAACGACTGACAGTCAGAGCTAATGTATCCAGTGAAGCTTGTCACGTTTGGGAGCTGTCACAGATTAGGGTAATGTCATTAGTATAGTAGTTTAGTAGTCAGTCACCTGGAAGCTGCTCCACGACCGCAGTAAAAAGGACAGTTTGTTGAACCCGGACAGTGGATGCCCACGAAAGAAGCAGGTTAATTCGGTTCCGTTGGGTCGCAGACACGCCACTTTAAGGAGGAAGAGGAGCCGACGGAAAAAAAGCGACACTGGGTAAAAACGATATCACTTACAGAAAAAGGGTAAAAGCTGATCTGTAGCTTGTCTAAAAAGTCTCATACTAAAGTCCCTAACTACCGTAGAGAATAGATAGAAGAGAATTCAGGATTTAGCTATACTTGGAGCAACGGTACAACAAGTCAAAGGATGACTGATAGAAATGCTTCGCAGGACATTAGTAATTACACAAAAGATGCACTAGAAAGAGTTGATAGCAAAGGACAGAGAAATGCACCATGTACAGCTCTGCGTGTGTTACTCGTGGTTCGCTCAGTGTTTAAGATGGATCCAGAGTCATTGACTAATATGGTGCGGGTCGAGCCCTTCCGATTCCGACGTTACTGTCTCTCATCGGCCCAACGCCCCGACCGCCACCACGATTCGCCATCAACAGTCCACCAGCACCAACCCGATTGAAAGCAGCTATTCCACTTGGCTGATTAGGAGTGTTCAAAACAGGAATAGACCCTTGTCCAACGTTTGGAGGCATTCCTCTCATAGTGTCTCTTGAGGCACTATACATATCTGTGGACCCAGTAATGCTCGGTGTTCGGTCCACCTGTTGGAGGGGAAAATGCAACATGATCTCGTGAAAACTGGTGGGGCGACGGCAATGAACATAGAAGAAAATGGTAAAAATAAGTTATATACAAACAGAATCCTATCTCGAGCAAGGATACCACCAAAAACCCTGAGATTCCCCCTGGATAACTCACAGATCGTGCTTCGAAAAGAGAAAGTTATATTGTCCTCCTCCTCATCATTATACTGAAAGTCAGCTAGATAATAGAAACACTCAACTACTGTATCGGAATAGAATTCGGTTGGGTGACTGCAAACAAAAACAATGCCATGCCGTTTTCTTTCACGCGTCGAGAGAGATCGTGGTTGGAGGAGGAGGCTAAGCGAAAAGGTAAGGATAAAAAGAACACACAGCATAAACACCATTGGGTTCGGCTTTCGGTTATGTTAACAGGCCTATCCAACCAAAAGCATTCATATTCTTTTGGACTCCAACCCGAAAGTCGAGACAGCAACCAAGACCAAGTTGGAAGTGAGTCCTTATTCCTTTTGATCGTTATTTGGTGGTCTCCCTCACTACTTTTCCACTCCAAACCTAGTCGCGCAAACAACACAAATCATGGAGTCAGCCCGACTATCGGAGTTCGATGCGTGAGAAGATGGTGCTGAGTGGTTCACTTGCTCTTCCTGTGCCATAAACAAGACACTCCACACCCGGTGTTAACACGAAGTAAGAGCCAAACTACAAAGGCATCCCCATCCGCCGATTTGAAGATCCAGATTTTTCAACCAAACAGTAGGGTTAGACGAACGGCTGCATTGTAGATTCTACCAGAGGTTGAGAGTGAGGCTGCACTGGCACCATAAGCAGCGAAGATTAGCAAAAGCGCCACAAGGTTTTGCTGCATGGTTTGTGATTTCATTGTCTAGTTCACATGTGCCTCTATACCTACCGAAGTAGTTAAACTCTTAACGACTTCTGGCTGGGTTGGTCTCTGCGAAAGCGTTGAGGGTGCAAAACAAAGTCAAAAAGGATTGACAGCTAATGCCAATCTGTTTAGTGTTGCTTGGCCCGTTTGTGAGCTGCTACCGATTAGGGTAAAATCAATGGCCTACTGTGATGAAAACTGAAGATGTGGTCAATACTGTCTCGAGCTCGGCAAAACTGGCCTGCTTTTCGCAAGTATGGCATTCACAGACAAAAGTCAGTTTATGAACAACGAGAGAGAAAAACAAATTGGAGGCATGTGGGAGCCGCGGTTGATATAGAGCTGGCCCACGCTTTTTTAATATGCGCATCATAGGAGGAGATATGCGTGCCAATAGCACACAGGTGGCTGGGTAGTAGGCCGCTTTATAAAGGAGTCATTTTTGAACCCGGCAATGAGGCGAAGATCGCGCATCCCACATGTCTCTGGAAACGATTGACTAGCTCCTGAAACCAGTAATCGAATGAGTTGGCGTAAGTTGCATCGGCTCGAGAAGGTGCAAAGTATATCCACTCACCACTTCTCGAGAACGAGCTTCCTCCGTTTACGAGAAGAGTGTAAGGCGAAAGGAGGACAACAGCCTGCTTGACAGTGAGAGGCGAACTTGCCGATGACCAAAATAGGTCATATCGATCCGCCTCGCTTTTTAGGTTGGGGTCCACCCGACCCACTTCGTATTTGACTTGAGGCTCGCATCCAGCGCCAGAGGTGCATTTGTTGTTGTCTTCTGGTCGGACTGTCTGGTTAAAGTGCCACTGGTGCTGAGTTCCCTGTGGCGATGAACAGTGAAAACTGCAAAGGAATCTACGTGGTCGATAAAGGGTTCCCTTCACACGAAATTCAATTGTTCGCGATAGTGTTATTCACAAGGTACGAGTGTTTTGTCGTTGAATGCCTGTACAGAGCCCCCTCTTCTCCTCAAGTTATTGATTTGTATTTCTATACCATGACTGTGCGATGGCGAAGCAGCAATTCAGAGTACTGACGTGCTGTTGCTGATGGCAATGGTGAGGTATTTTGTGTGACGACGACAAGAACAATACGTCAGCTATTAGAACTGACGCTCCGCTCCCATACAACCACGATGACCTACGGAACGAAGAATAATAAAACCTTGCTGCCATAAGCAAACATTCATTAACAAGGCGCCTACACCTTGTGTTAACAACACATCGTCACAAACAGCTGGCTATCGTGCAAAGATAAGGCGGCATCAAGGAGACAGCTTCCTTGAGGCTTTCATTGCCGCGTGTCATAATCGACATGTTTAAAAAAGCAGCGCGGCTTACACTAGGTAGTCCAGTTCTCATTATCACAGTGGGCAACATGATAAACACCAACAATATCTCCTGATAGAGTAAGTAGTGAAGTGTACCGTATAAACACATTAAGCATACGTTCAGGATCAAAGCGCCGGTAAGTTGCCGACGACGCACGATGATAAGCTGCCAGTGTAGAAATGGTAAGGCGGAAACGCCGAAGCAACTCCGAGTCATAATCAATCCGGAGACACGCAGGTTAAACAATGTGGACTAGGGGACGGCAATAAACATCGCAATTGCGTCGAGTTCGCCATGTAATGGCTCAAGTCATCAGTTACCGATGAGCAAAACAATGCAGGATCGATGATCGATCCGGAGCACTTGTCGGACTATGACAGTAGCTTTGTGCGTGCGCGCATAACATTCGTTCTGCTTGATTCGGTAAAGTTTCTCACATCTAAAACACTTGCTTGTTAACCGCGTAGGTAGTCCGCGGAGTAACAGTAGCAAGCCGAATTGTAACATCTGTAGTCACCATCGAATGAGGTCGACGAACCGAATGTTAGCTGCGACCGCCCCCAAAGTCTAAGTAAAAAGCAACCGAAGTCTCTGTTCGGTGCCGAAATAGGGGATGCAATTCTGAAGCATCAACTAACTAACTGAAGCACGTAGCGGTTTCGTCAGGACAGCGTTTTCAGTGTCATTTGACTTAGAATCCGGGAATACGAGAGGAATTGGTGAGCGGTGGGAGCCCATGAAATGGAAGCGAACGCCATTGGGAACGTCATAATGCTGTTCTGGAGAATTTGAGCTACGGGACCCGTGAATGGAACAAGACAAAAAGGATGGATTTTTTATTCACTTTCGGTCACGTAGACTCGAAAGCTAGGCTGAGGACAGTGAGGAGCAAGTCAACCGAATGAGGCTGACGAAATCAATATGATCAAATGAGCACATCTCGGACGATAACGTAACAAGTCCAACAATTGACCCGAGTTGGTACTGTTAAGGTCAGGCAAGACTACATTACATCACCGTTTCTGAAGAACGGTGACAACATACTAGCAATTATAAAGCAGTAAAACGATACCGTCCGCATAAGCTGTCCTAACATTCGCACGTGCGGAACCTAAATGGCCGCATCATATGGCCAGAAAAACTAGGCCCACTGATGAAGTTAACGAAAGGCATCCAACAATCCAACGCAGACTGAAGAGTGGAGCGAGTAAGAGGCCTACATCACAGGGGCCGGTCCGTAGTCTAATGTTAACGAGACTGTCTTGTAATCTGACGGCGTGGGTTCGAGCCTGTATAGGAACTGGGTGACCCTCGCAGTATCCTTAGCCAGCGTGTGACCGGTGGTGGTTACGCAGCAGTGAAGCGTCGGTACTGCGTACCGGCGTACTGCTAATGTCTTTCCTACATTTTTTACATCACAGGAAAACGTTCCCCTGGTAAGTGCCCGCAAGAAACTAGGAATTTCCTGGAAAATCCACTAGTTCAGCGATAATCGATTTTGAACGTTTTGGAATGTTCTAAGGCCAGCACGTGACTAACAACTTTTCTGAACATCAGGCAAACCTATGGAGAACAACTAACCTTGGCAGCTGATCTAATCGTAGAAGTCGAAGGTTAGAGGTGACCTATAAATATGACCATGGTCTGTCGCCCTTGTACAGTTTTCACTTTACTGCGGTTAACACGCTATTCTCAGATATTTTCCTTTGTTTGGGTTTGAGGTCGTGCGAAATAGATGAAGTGCGTGTTTCGGAATTGCAGCAAGTGAGAAGATTTAACAAAATGGAGAAAAGTAGAAAGGCGAATTTTTCCGTTGAACAATTTCAATAGCTGCCTTTGCAACAGCAATCACAAATGGCAGTCCAAATGAAAATGATTGAAAATTTGACGAACTGTTTGAGTATGTAGTCTGTAGGAGCAGCAGCACGGGACATGCAGGCGAATTCTGCTGATCTTACTAACGCGGTCAGTGAATTTAATTATGACGGAGATTCCGGTTGCACCATGATTCAAACGCTGGGAGGATATGTTTCGGACGGACTTCAGTCGTAAGAACGATTGCTGGAAAGTGCGTTTGTTATTTTGCAAGCTCGGCACGAGCGAACATTCAAAATTCACTGACCATATTCTGCACAAATAACCAAAGGACCTGGCTTTCGATGAAGCGGTGTCACAGCTCAGTGAAATATTTGGCGAGTCAGCTTTTCTGTTCAGCATTCATTATCAATGATTGGAGATTGTTAAACGGGAAAAGGACGATTATAGGGCGCTAGCTGACATGGTTAACCGCGAGTGTGAGCGTTTCAGGCTACGATCTTTGACAGACGACCAATTTAAGTGTCTCATTTTCGTCAGTGCTCTGCAATCCCCTTGTAATGCTGAGAGCTGCACGAGGCTTCTTGCTAAGCTTGGTCAAGACCCAGATTTGACACTAAAGGCTCCTGTTGGTGAATGCAAGCGAGTACTCATTTTGAAGCACGACATCGCCCTGATCGAACAGTGTCACAATGCACCATCCGATGCCGTTCGCGCTGTGAAAAATACCGGAAATGCTAACCGAAGCGAACCGTTCAAGAGCGCCCTGAAAAAGCCATCTACAGCCTGCTGGTCGTGCGGCAAATGACATTTTGCTCGTTTCCGCCCTTTCAAATGTCACATCTGCGAAAAGTGCTTTAAGCGTGGCCATAAAGAAGAATTCCGCAGCCAGGCCCGGTAGAAGAACAAGAAGAATTCTCGAAAGTGTGGGAATTGCCGCATTTCAAAAGGAA